TATCAGTGTAACCCCTACAGGCCGAAGTAAACCGTGCAAAACATTCCAAAATTATAACATAAAAAATATAAGCAAAGTTAAAGTTTTATTTTGCGCTGACTGAGTTAAAAAAAAGAAAATAAAACATACAAACATAACCAATCCAGTGCGTAACAAAATATAAATTTATGTAAATTTGAACCCAGACAGGTCGGAGTAAATTAAAGTGAAGAATCAATTCGCTTCATTTCAACGAAAGGAACAAGTTGTACTGTTTATTTAAAGGAATGGAAAACGTTGCAATATATAACACAGAATAATTATTTTTTTTTAGAAATTCAGCAATCTAGAACGCTACAGTGTATTGAAAACGTTTTTCAAAAACATTTTGCGGAAAATAAATATGTTCGAAGAAGCCAAATAATTGTGAAGAAGTTGTGAACGATCGTGGAGAATACAAAAAAGGAATTTAACAAAAATGTTATATTAATATACCTATATATAAATATATAGCTTATATATCATACCTATATATCAATTATAGGTATCCTAAAAGATAATAAATAAAGAAAACTACAAAAATTCTCAAATGTTACAGTATACAGACTCAGACAAGTAGGGTTTCTTGAGTTTTCGAAGCTGAAGTAGACCTGGTAGACTTTGGTAATAAGAGAGATATGCAATTATTAGACAGTCTAAATTAAACCTAATGTAAGAATTATGACAAGAATGTGTAATTCAACTGTGTTTAAGACATCCAAACTATATAACATGATTTAGGTATAGCCTCTCATGAAAAATAGCAGTTTGATGGTTACAATAAAAAAATAATTTTTAGATTAGGAACTGTAATTTATATACAGTGTCTCACAAAAGTGATGGGACACTTGTGAACTTGTGAACTTGTGAACACTTGAAAGGAAACTAGTAAAATAAATTAAAAAAACATGTAAATATTTTTTGTGGGTGTGTTTCATACTTAAATTTAGTAACAATTATTACATAACATACATTTTCTCAAAATATTAAAATAGTGATTTAATAAAAATACAATTGTTTAGAACGGAGCAAGAAATGGCTCACATAAGTGATGGGACACTTACTTTTCCATCAAATATTTATCCAAAAATTTTACTTCTTAAAATGTTTTAATATTTTGTTGGATTTCCTTTTACTTTTGAAACGTGATTTAATCTTCTTGGGATGGATTCGGCTAATTTTTTTGTGATTTTACCCCATTCTTCTTGAAGCAATGATTTTGATTGTTGTTTTGAAGAAATGGTGTGTTTGCGAATTCTTGATTCCAATTCTTACCAAATATTCTCTATGGGATTTAAGTCTGGAGATTGTGGTGGCGTTTTTATTATTTCAGGACAGTTATACAGCAGCCAGAGTCTAACGTTCAAAGCAGTGTGCTTGGGGTCATTGTCCTGGTAGAATTTAAAATCGTTACGAAGGGTCAAACTTTCGTGCTGAAGATTTCAAAATTTTGATTTAAAACGTCCAATATACTTGTCCTGATTCATTAGACTGTCAATAAAATCAAATAAATCATTAAATCATAAATAAATGTCAATAAAAACTGTCAATAAAGATTACCAACTCCAGCAGACGACATACACCCCCATACCATAACTCCTCCACCATCCATCTTTTACTGTTGGCACCAAGTTCTGTTTGCGAAACTTCTTTCCTAGGGTTTTCCTGGGTTTACACCAAGATTCTACCGTCAGAAACCAAATATTATTAAATTTACTCTCATCAGCAAAATTATAACTTTATTCCAGTAATCAGAATTCCTTATTTATGTTGGATTTTGCGAAAGCCAGTCTGAGTTGTCTATTCTTTTCACTCACGAAGAATTTTTTCCTGGCTGCTCTACCGTGATATCCAGCATATCGAATTACTCTTATAATAGTCTCAGGATTAACAATTACTCCATATAATGCTTGTAAATCAGACAGCAACTATAGGAGCACTCATTCTTGGAGTTTTTTTTTAAATATTTCCAACGAATAATTCGCTTTATTCCTTTGGATAGCTTTGATGGTCGGCCAGGTCTTCTGTTATCCTGAATCATATGATTCTTTTTATATCGTTTAATGATATTGAAAACTGCTGAATGACTCATGTTAACTGTTTCAGCAGTTTCTCTAATAGATTTTCTAAGTTCAATATGCAAATTAATAACTAATTTTCGAATTTCAGGCAAAGTTTCTTTTCGTTTAGCATTTATGGCTCCACAGAGCTAAACAACACAAAATTCCAAAACAAACTGGAGAGAAAGACTGCAGACGATTTTATAAATTATTTCTAATTGCTTCTGAGTAAAAATAAAAACCCCAAAAAATATTTTTATTGTAGTACGTAGTAGTATCTAATGGTATCCTATCACTTATGTGAGCCATTTTTTGCTCCATTCTAAACAATTGTATTTTTATTAAATTACTATTTTAATATTTTGAGAAAATGTATGTTATGTAATAATTCTTACTAAATTTAAATATGAAACACACCCAGAAAAATTTTTACATGTTTTTTAAATTTATTTTATTACAGTTTCTTTTTGTAAAGCACAAGTGTCCCATCACTTTTGTGAGACACTGTATATACTATATATATAGGTGTTGTATGATCTTAAATTTATTTAATGCGAAAACTAGTAACTACTACTTGCGCAACTGCTGCAAAGTAAGTTAATAATAATTTATTTACTAAATATATTGATTAATTGATTATATTATCTCCTAAGTATAATTATTAGGATTATCTTAAAAGTGAATCCATACTAGTAATTATATTTTCAAAGATGTTTTGAGGTAACTTGAAAGTTAATTGTTAAAAATGTTTTAACGGGGACTGGAATTAAATCATGAATAACAAAATTTCAATTGTAAAGGAATAAATTAAAGGCAAGATTAAATTAAATGCATGTAATCATTGATCGGAAACTAAAAACTAATTTCTAGTATCAATTCACTCTTTTAAGATAATCCTACTATAATTATACTTAGGAGATAATATAATCAATTAATCAATGTTATTTAGTAAATAAATTATATATATATATATATATATATTATAAGGTATTTATCCCGCCTTCTTAGCATGCCTTCGTGATGTAGTGGTCAGCACACTCGGTGCGTACTCAAAAAGGTGGTGGATGATGCATCTCCACCACCAATTTGGCAATTGGGTCCCCTAATCCCCAGTCGCCCTTTAAAAGGTTATAAAGGTATGTAAAAGTTATAAAAGGTACATAAAGGCTTTAAAAGCTTTTTCTCCCGCCTTGTTAACATGCCTTCGTGGTATAGTGGTCAGCACACTCGGCGCGTATTCGAGAGTTCCGTGGTTTGAATCCCGGCGAGAGCATTGCTCATTTTCATGTCTTCTGTTTCGAAATAACCTAATGTATGTACAATATATGTACGTGTTCTAAAATAGAAAATATAATTTAATACAGCTATTGAATATTCAGGGGGATTTTCATATAGTAGTACCCTTTTTGCGACGATGTAAGAAGCAACCTTCCGAGATATTCATGAAATCAGAGGGCTGATAGTATCTAAGAGATGGATAGCCATATGCTTTTAATCATCGTCTATAATTCGTTTCCCAATTGAGGCTGCGAATAAAGCAAGCGATGGACACTCAGATCCCTGGAATGTTCGATCGGTGTGAAATCTTGAGACTTCTGTAGTTAAAGAATTACCTGCAGCTTAGCGTAACTACTGCAGCCCTCCACGTATATATATCGTCCTACAGGAATTGTACCTCTGCTACGAACCAGAGGGGATGAGTATCAGTGGTGATTTCACACCAGATGGGTGATGAGTCACTGTCAAGCAGTATTACGTTAAAAAATAGAAGGACTGTATTTGTAACCACATCGCATCAGACACTTATGTTTTTAATACAGAAAGCGGTTGTGGTTTGTCCAAATAAACTTTCATATTGAAGCAGCCACATGGTTTGGCTTGGTTTATTTAACTATGGCAAAGCACACTAGGGCTATCTGCCTAAGGGGAGGGATGCCTTCGTGGATGACTTTCTAATTGAAACTGTCTTGTATATACGTTTCACATGGGGAAAACCAAAGCAGCCACATGAAAAGACATTACGATTCAGTTACCATGCTTCAAAGGTCATTTCTGGTCAAAGCCACGAAATAAGATCACGCCCTCGGAGAACTTTTAACCTGTTGAAACGTATATTTGTAGTGTCATCCACATAAGGATCATTTTGTTAAGGGTATTGCTACATCTAAAAATAATGCGAAGTTTATGAATCGCCTCTTCAAATCACTCTTCCATTCTTGAGATGAAATTTGAAAGTTACCTTACGTTGCTCTTCAATGAACCGCTCTAGGTCATCTCAACTAGAAAACTACAAATTCTCCATCAATTAATATTACATTTGCCAGGTGACAGAGAGCGGAGATCCTGGCAGCTACCAGAGGTCAGTAGGAAATTTCTCCGCTCTCTTATCAGGAAACTTTGCTGAAACAAAAACTACTTTTGTCAGTACTTATGACCAGACAAGGACGAGAGTACATAAATGCAACATACCATGCTATCTGCAACTAAAACGTACGGTTGTTACATAAGTGAATCTGTCTAAAAATTCTCCAAGTATGACGGTTTATTTTGGGGCAATATAATGTGACTGTGAAAATAATAAAGAACGTGATAATTCTTCAATAATCATAAAGGTTTCTTTGATATTTTCACGCATCATTACATAACATAATATTTATTTCATGGAGTTAGCAAGTTTTACATGCCATGAACCCTGCATAAATTGCGGCAGAACTTATGACACCCATGAAACCAAAGTAACATTTACTTTTAACAAAGGCCTTTTGAAACTTCATTCTTTGTCATAAAAGTCAATTTACAATGCAAAATGAGATTATAACTACTTACTATATTATATTTCGCATAGATCGCATACAATGAAATAAAACCATTTAAGAAAAGCTTTATTGTGAAAGTAACTTTCTTTTCACATTCTTTAAACAGATGGTACCGAGAAGAAGAGGGTCGCCTTGTTCTCTTGACTTCAAACCATCGCATAACTCAGTTGGATGGCTCTTTAATATTGCAGTTCGTGAGTGTTCAAGATAGTGGACGATACATTTGCGTCGTGAACAACACTGCGGGAGAAGACAGATCGTTTACTCTGCTTACGGTGTCAGGTAAGAACCTTACTAACTTAATTTACTCGACTGAGCCAGCTCTTGACCTTTCTCTACAGAATGATGCATGGAGTATTCTCGGAATAGAAAGAGAAAAGACTTCAACTTGATTAGTCTTCACGTCATTAATTTGATGAGCGCAGTGGAAATGAACTCAAAGAAGATAGTGTTATGTAATTCGGTTTACTGACATAAAAGTCCGAGCAAGGAATGAATAGCAAATTACTGCAGCAGCAACTGAAAGCTTTTTCAGAAGCACAGCCTTATTTCAGGGTATAACTTAGTTATGATAAGCAAAGGTAAGAAACTGAAAGAGTTCAATCTCACATTATTTTAACTGGAATTAAGGACATTACGGATATTTAGTATCCGTTTATTAAATGAAATTACCGAAGTTATCCATTTTAACTTTCTATCCATTAGATTTTTGGATTTTATTAATTGTCGAATAAAATATTAAATTTTGTCATTATGAAGCCAGAATAATCGTTGTTGATGTGAATGCTAAATTCCAGATCAGAAATAAAATGAAATATCATCAGTTAGCATCCGGAACTGTATGAAATCAAGAACAATTTTAACTTTATTTTTTTAAATACTGCGTCTGTCTTTAAATTTTTGAAAACAGGAAAAAGTGTCAAAAATGTAAAAATTAATTTAAAAAATCATGCAAATTTCAAAATACTTAAAAAGCTATATTTCTTTCTGTAAGCTAACTAAAATACGTCGAACACTTTATACATCTTCACCTGTAGTTTAAATTATAAACTTCCATATCTCTGGTTGATTCTGGTTGACTTCCATATTTCTGGTCTTGTTGGTGTGATTAATCTTACTTGTTTGAATTTGTAAGGTTCCCCTTAGTTTATTTGAATTTTGGTATCTTTTCTGAGTTCTCTAGTTTCCTTGTATTTCCTCGCCAGGATGCTAATTAAATAGGTGAAAAAGTATTTAAAAGGGTGAAACGAGAAGGTCCGACATAGCAGGTTTGCTATTTTGTCTTCCAGCTGTTAATCTTAGTAGTGGCTACGTATTCTGCCAATTTATTTAGTCTCGCCGGTGTAGGTTGCTGATTCAGCCTGTTAGTTTAAATTAAATTATGAAGACTAGCACTACTCCTTACCTATTGAATTTATTTTTAAATTATTATTTTTAAGGTCGCACCGGAAGTAGTCGGTGTTCTTGTGAGCACGAAATCCGTGCCATTCTGTTAAAGAGTCGTGATAAATAAAAAGGGTTTGTTGCACCCTTTCCCTAATTTGTTATTCTTCACGCTTGTACGAGAACTCGCCAGGCTAAACTTTGAGATCTCGACACTTTGTAGGATAACCAAAAAGAGCAGATATTATAAGCTAATTAGAACAAGCCCACGAAATTCATCTCGGCGAAAATACAAGATTACATCTGCTGTTGTCAAAAGCCTTGAGCACCATATAGGTGACGAGTTTTCTCATTTCTGCTCCAGTTTTGAAAGAGGGCACGTCGGGGTATGTGTTTGAGGGTCTCCCACCTCTCGAGATTCCTTTCGGATCTTCATATATTTTGAGTGTCCCCATGCTGCACAGATACTATACATTTGGAAACAACCACGCTTTCTCTATTATTCGAAACTTGTGTCCTACGGTACAGCAGTCAGCATTACACGCACATTCCCGTCTGGGCGGCGCTCTGCTTTTAATTAATTGCGATGAGGAGGTGAACGGTACTAAAATCTCACGAAGTCAACAATAATCTTTGTTCCTTGGTTTCATATCAAGCTATCATAACTTTATTTATTTTAACTCTGCATAAATCTAATCTAAGGTAGTTAATTTTAATGTTCTATAACTTTTTCTAAAAAGATTTTAAAAAAATTCAGTATCCGCATTTGCTAACATTTCAGCTTTTTAAAATCTGTGTCTACATCACTTGCTTTTCTAATATTTGCAAACGGCTGATAAGTGCTAAAATTCTTTTAAATAAAATAAAATTTCGTCAGCGTTTACAGGACGTAATAAGGGTTAATATCCTCATCCAATGGAGATGTTTCTTAGCTAATTGAGAATAAATTTAGAAAAAAAGATGAATATAAAAGGTTTCAGATTTTACCTGCCGGCCAAAGGAATTTGTGATGTTACACTCTCGCTGAGATCGCAGTTAGTCTGATCTTGTACTCATGTCTCACTTCTGCTAACCGATTTTTTCGTTTTGTGAGTATGTGTGCGTCTACATCGTTTTCTTCTCACTTACCCCACATACAGTTCAACAAAAAGTTTAGAAGCACAATTTTTAAAAGCTGCTTCTCAGCATATGTTTAGAATTCTCAATGTATTGCTCAGGCTTGGCATATAATTTTATATTTTTTCAGATCCTCATACCAATATCCAGTTTTATTAATAAGATAGCTAATAAATTGTTTTTCCCCTTTTCATTATTAACTTTTAATGTATTAACTTCATTTATTAAATATCACGTTCATGTTACTTATACCACAAAAAATTCAGTGCAACAGATGATGACAAAATATTTAAAAACAGCATATATTTAGAAGTCCCAACATTTAGAAGTGTTAGAGATTTCCATACATATTTTTTTTTATATCCGTTATATTATTTCTTCAAATATTAACAGTTCGCGTCCAGCCGCCTAAAATAATTACCATAAAAAGGAAAAGATGTATAATGATTTCAATGAGTACAGCTTGTGTAATTTAATAAAAATATTGAATATTTCCAATTAAATATTTGATTATTATAATACATGTTTTCTAAATCAATTACATTAAAAATTAGGAAAACATTTTCTTAAAAACCGCGTTTATTGCATTTTCGCTTAATTTATTTCTCAATGACCTCTTTCAGATTAAATTTGAAAGCAACTTAGGTTTTACTGAATGGCAGCATTCTGGCAAGTGGGAATAATTACCCTATTTTATTTCTGACCGCGGCAACGCGTTGCTTTCTCACAGCCGAGTTTCTTAATTAAAACTGAAAGATTTACATTTTTTCGAATGGCAACAGGCTTTCGTGATAGAGGTAAAAATGTTTTACTTCGAAAGATGTTGCCACAGCTCGCTCTCAAACCGTTGAGATTCATCATATTTCATCAACATTTTACGAAATATGCAATAAATAATAAAACTAATTCGAAATTCAGAATACGGGCTTCCAGATGCACATATTCTGGTGGAACATTACGGTATTCAAAATTTGATGCCTCTAAGCATTCTGGAAATACGACGATATTTGGTGGCAAAAATTTGAAATCGCCGTTTTCCCACAATGCTAGAAACATAAAATAGATACGTACAGATTCTTCATTATTTTATTTTTTTAAAAAAACAATACAGGGTGATAATATTTGGGGAAAAAATTTGAAAAAGGGATACCGCATTTATAGTGAAACAGCGCAAAAACCTTTTTCGAGACTATTACCCCTATTTGGGCTAAAAACATTCTAGAAATATTCAGATTTTGACACTCGCCTAAATTGTGTATTTTACGTTCCGTATGGTTTATCGGTAGAGATTATCAGTAGAGATGCCGCAGGTAGAATAGTGATTCATTTTATAGGATATTTGATGAATATGCTTGTATACCTAACTTAAGAAGATTATATATCTTATAACTTTATAGTATATGATATAGAAAAAGGAAAAACTATATCGTAAAATTCTAGAAAATACTTAATGTTTTAATTAGATATATGATGAATTAAATACATTTTTACTTACAACATTCATATTAAAATAGGAAAAATAATATTAAGAACCTTATCTATTATTTTTAAATAGTTTAGCTTGGATTAATAACAGATAGGTTAAATATGAAAAATGTATCAAACCTTTTTAAAAATCGTAACAGGTTCGAACGAAAAGTGAAACAACGTAGTGAACGCAAAATCGAGTTTCGAAACTAGTAGCTCTTATAGGATAATAATCACAGTACGGAAATGCGAGAAATGAACAGTAATTTTATACTGGAGGAATGAAGAAGCAGCATTTATACTAAGCATTTGGATGAAAAATAAATAATCTAGAGCTTCAGGAAGAAAGGTTTTGGTAGATTTCGTAGAATTTGAATGTCCGAACCCTTACCACATGCCGAGGCAACCTCCAAACTCTTACTCGCATTCAACGTTTTAGTCGATCACCATTTTACCAACACAATATGTTTCAGCTAGCTCTCAAATTTTCGAATAATACAGATTCGATTGTTAAACTTTAAAAAGATCCATTGCCTAAAAAAAAGGAATTATAGCAACATGTAAGAAATGTCTGTAGTCTGATATAAGCAATTATGCTGAGTATTTTCAGTTAACAACTACGAATATATGCCGTCTAAAGTTCCGTGATGGTGACTGCATTCTGACGCATTGCTTATTTTTATTTCCTTTGTTACTTGGAGTTCATTTCAGACTTTTCCATTGACATTCAGCGTTTGATTTTAACCTTTCACAATATGCATGTATAGAATAAAAACACAATAATTAAATTAAAATTAGGTTATGAGGGGGGTTAACATTCCAACAGGAAAATTATATATTAAAATCAAACCAAAAACTACTCAAAATCGGAAGAATTAAATAAAGTCAATAAAATATAGTAAAACTTATATAAATACATAAAAGTTTGAAAATTCTTTCGTCATTTTCGAGGAGCAGCTGAACAATTTTCTGCAAAGCTACGTTTCTGAATTATATCTAGATAATTGTGAATACTGAAACATTTCAAAATCAAAATAAAATATTATATTAAATTAAAAGTAGTTAAATTTAAATTAAAATAATCAAACTGTCTAAAAATACAAAAAGTAAAAGTTTAAAAATATTTCGAGTTATATAACATATAAAGTTCTCGAGTAAGAAGTCAAGTGTTCTCGAAGAAGTAACCACAGAAATCAGTGGGTAAATAAAAGCAATGTGCTCTCAATAAATTTCGAACCAAAGAATGAGCAAAATTGCTAAATAAACTTGTAAAATCGGGAAAACATGGTAAAAAGGAATAAATGAAAGGTAAATGG